CCCCACAAAAGCCACGCTTACCCGAGCTCCTCTCGAACCTTCCACAGGCAAACTCCCCCGTCGACAGCCGTCCTGTTCGCTGCTCACTCGGTTCGCTCTGGCTGCCTTGCTCATAAGGCTGCTGGCTCCAAGCCTTGCCTCCAATCCATACAAGACCTGAAGGTGCCCCACCTGCAACAAAGCGCTCCCAATTCACACTTTTCAAGCCGCCACGCACACGGTCACACAGTCCCTGCAACGAGCACCAGTCAGTCAATCAAGTCAGACAGAGACAAACACTTGGATACTTTGCACAGCCCCCCAAAAAGTCACATTTACCCGAGCTCCTCCCGTACATTTCCCAGGCAAACTCATTCCGAAATGCTTCCAGTTCCTCACGCAGGCCAAGGCAGGCAGGCAGGCATCAGAGTCTCAATGCGTGGATGAGACAATGGTGTAGAAAGGAAGGGTTTAGATTGATTAGGAACTGGGCAAACTTTTGGGAAAGGGCGACTCTGTTCAGGAAGGAAGGGCTCCACCTAAATCAAATCGCCGGTCTTTAACATTACAAAGGTCATAGTGCAGTTTTTTTAACTATGGGCTAGGGGAAAGCACACGAGTGCAGAGGAGCACGTGGATTACAGGGCCAAAAGACGGTTGCAGGGGGGCTAAGCCATCTAATAAACCATCTTGTTAGTCTTTAAAGTGCTACATAGTCCTGTATTTTGTTTCAAATGTACTCTAGCTGAGGATCTGATTCCTTAGAATAGATTCTAAATCTTATCTGTGAAAGAAAAGAAAAAGAAAGAAAAAGAAAAATTGACTCGGGGTGCTTTTTGTTATGATACAAGTGGTAAAAATAGAAAGGCGACAGAGGTTTCATGAGTCAGAACCCCTCCTCCCTCTGTGCTCCATACAATTATTATGGCTGATCTCAGGCTCCTGAGATGGGAAGTAGCCGGGATTGGCTGGAGGAAGCTCAGAAGCAAGTGGATTGGAGCAAAAGGCGGTTGCAAAAAACACCATAACCGATGTTTCCTAGGCAAACTCACCTGCTGGCTTCTCTCAACTCCCTTCAGCTACCTTTGTTGAAAAGCTACTTGCTCTAAAAGGATATCCACCTCAAAGCCTTGCCTCCATTCCGATCAGCCATCAAAGGTTTATCTGCAACAAAGCACTCCTGTTACACACTTTCCCAAATGCTAAACACATGGTCAAACAGTCCCTGCACCAGCAAAGGAAGTGAATGCACACAGACCGACTGACCGACACTTGGATACTTACCCCAGCTCCTCGGAGACCCTTCCGAGGCAAACTCCCCTGTTGACTGCTGTCCTGTTCGCGGCTCACTCGGTTCGCTCTGGCTGCCTTGGTCAGAAGGCTGCTGGTTCCAAGTCTTGCCTCCAAACCATACAAGCCCTGAAGGCCCCCACCTGCAGCCAAGCCCTCTCAATTCACACTTTTCAAACGCCATGCACATAATAACATAGTCCCTGCAACGAGCACTAATCAGTCAAACAAATCAGACAAACACTTGGATACTTAACCCAGCCAGCTCACAGCATAGCCCAGGAAATGCAATACTTACTCGAGTTCCTCTCTAATGTTTCTGGGCCAGCTCTCATATTGGCTGATGACTCAGTTCCTTCCAGATGCCTCCGCTATAAAAGGGCCACCTGCAACAAAGCACTCCTGTTACACACTTTGCCAGCTGCTAAACACATGATCAAATAGTCCCTGTACCAGCACCAGTGAAGGAAGTGACTGCACACGGGCAACTGACAGACATTTGGATACTTACCCCAACCAGCTCATGGCACAGCCCTCCAAAATGCCAGACTTACCGAGTTCCTCTCCAATGTTTCCCAGGCTGACTCATGTTCACTGCTCACTCAGTTCTCTCAGCTGCCTCCGTTAGAATAGCTGCTGGCTCCAACAATGTGACCAGCTTGCAGCTTTACCTCAAATTCAACCAGCCACTTCCTAAGAAGGACTGCCAGTTCATAGCATTCAAACACCAGTCTCTGCACCAGCACCAGTGAAGAAACCCAAAGAGACGTTGCATACTTAGCACAGGCAGCTCACGGCACTGCCACACAAAAGCAACACTTACCGGATCTGCACTCCGTTTCCCAAGCAGTCTCTCACGTTGGCTGCAAACTCAGTTCCATTGGCTGCCTCTGTTAGTCTTTGCTGGCTACAAGAAATTGTCCAGTTCAAAGTCTTGCGCACAATTCAATCTGTCTTTGAAAGCCCACCTGCCATTGAATACTTTTCCAACAGCTAAAAACATGGTCTAACAGTCCCTGAACCAGCACCAGTGAAGGAAGCGATCACACACGGACCGACTGACAGACACTTGGATACTTAGCCCAACCAGCTCACAGCACAGCACCCAAAAATCCACACTTACCCAAGCTCCTCTCCAATGTTTCCCAGGTCGACTCTCATCTGCACTGCTCACTCCGTTCCGTAGTCTGCCTCTGTTATAAGGCTGCTGGCTTACAAATATACTTGTCTCAAAGCCTTGCCTCAAATCCAACCAGCCACTGGAAGGTCACCTGCAAAAAGCACTCCCAATACACAGCACTCAAACAGTCCATGCACCAGCACCAGTGAACGAAACCAAAGACATACAATTGCATACTTAGACCAATCCGCTCATGGCACAGCCGCCCAAAAAGCCACACTTACCCAAGTTCCTCTCAGACCATCCTCAGGCCTGCTGCCCTGTTCGCTCCGTCTGCCTTGGTCGTAAGGCTACTGGCCTCCAAGCCTTGCCTCCAATCCATACAAGTCCTGAAGGCCCCCACCTGGAACAAAGTGCTCTCTATTCACATATTTCAGACTGCCACGCACATTGTCATGCAATCCTTACAACGAACACTAGTCAAGTCAAACAGACAGACACAGACACTTGGATACTCACAACACAGCCCAACACACACCACACTTACCCGAGATCCTCTCCAATGTTTCCCAGGCCGACTCACGTTCACTGCTCACCTCACTTCTCTCGGCTGCCTCTGCTGTAAAACCTGCTGGCTCCAAGAATATGCCCGGCTCAAAGCCTCCCCTCAAATCCACCCAGCCACTTCTTAAAAACCACTCCCAATTCACAGCAGTCACACTGTCCCTGCACCAGCACCAGTGAAGGAAGCGAAAGATAGACAGTTGGATACTTAGCCCTGCCAGCTCATAGCACAGCCTCATAGAAGCAGTACTTACCTGAGCTCCTCCCCAACATTTCCCAAGCCGACTCATATTCATTTGTTCACTCGGTTCTCTCGGCTGTCTGTTATAATAGCTGCTGGCTCCAAGCATGTGTCCGGCACGCAGCTTTACCTCAAATTCAGCCAGCCACTTCCTAAAAAGCATTCCCAATTCACAGCATTCAAACAGTCTCTGCAACAGCACCAGTGAAGGAAACTAAAGACACACTTAGCCCAGGCAGCTCACCGCACTGCCACACAAAAGCCGCACTTACCGGATCTGCTCTCCAATGTTTCCCAAGCCGTCTAACGTTGGATGCTCACTCCGTTCCCTTGGCTGCCTCTGTTAATCTGCTGGATACAAGAAAGTGTCTGCCTCCAAACTTTGCCCACAATTCAATCAGTCTTTGAAAGCCCACCTGCAACAGAGCACAGCCATTGCATACTTTTCCGACTACTAAACACATGGTCAAACAGTCCCTGCACCAGTACACCAGTGAAAAAAGTGACTGCACACAAAGCGACTGACAGACACTTGGATACTTACCCCAACCACCTCATGGCACAGCCCTCCAAAATTACAGACTTACCGAGTTCCTCTCCAGTGTTTCCCAGGCTGACATGTTCACTGCTCACTCAGTTCTCTCAGCTGCCTCCGTTAGAATAGCTGCTGGCTCCAACAATGTGCCCAGCTTGCAGCTTTACCTCAAATTCAACCAGCCACTTCCTAAAAAGCACTGCCAGTTCACAGCATTCAAACACCAGTGTCTGCACCAGCAAAGAAAAACAAAGACAGACGTTGCATACTTAGCCCAGGCAGCTTGCAACACTGCCACACAAAAGGCACACTTACCGAATCTGTACTCCCTTTCCCAAGCAGTCTCTCACGTTGGCTGCAAACTCAGTTCCATGGGCTGACTCTGTTAGTCCGCTGGCTACAAGAAATTATCCTGCTCCAAGTATTGCACACAATTCAAGCCCACCTGCCATTGAATACTTTTCCAACAGCTAAAAACATGGTCTAACAGTCCCTGAACCAGCACCAGTGAAGGAAGCGAAAGATAAGACAGTTGGATACTTCGCCCTGCCAGCTCATAGCACAGCCTCACAAAAGCAACACTTACCTGAGCTCCTCTCCGACATTTCCCAGGGAAACTCCACTGCTGGCTGCTCACTCGATGCCCTCCGGCTCCCTTTGTTGAAAAGCTACTTGCTTTAAAAGAGGGCCCCAGCTCAAAGCTTTACCTCCATTCCGATTAGCCGTGAAAGGCTCACCTGCAACAAAGCACTTCCATTACACACTTCCCCAACACACTTCCCCAACTGCTAAACAAGTGGTCAAACAGTCCTTGCACCAGCACCAGTGAAGGAAGTGATCGCACATAGACCGACTGATAGACGCTTGCATACTTAGCCCAACCAGCTCACGGCACAGCCCGCCTCCCCCCATAAAATCACACTTACCTGAGCTCCTCTCGCACATTTCCCAGGCCGACTCTCACGTTCACTGCTCACTCCGTTCCGTAGGCTGCCTCCGTTATAAGGTTGCTGGCTCAGGAACGTTCCCATCTCAAAGCCATGCTTCAAATTCAACCAGCCATTGAAAGGCCTCCTGAAAAACAGCACTTCCAATTCACAGCATTCAAACAGTCCATGCACCAGCACCAGTGAACAAAACCAAAGACAGACACTTGCATGCGTAGCCCAGCCAGGTCACGACACAGCCCCCCCCCAAAAAAGCCTCACTTACGCAAGCTCTTCTCAGACCTTCCTCAGGCCTGCCGCCCTGTTCGCTGCTCACTTGGTTCGCTCTGGCTGCCTTGGTCATAAGTCTGCTGTCTCCAAGCCTTCCCTCCAATCCACACAAACCCTGAAGGACTCCACCTGCAACAAAGTGCTACCAATTCACACTTTTCAAGCCTGCCACACACGTGGTCACGCAGTTCCTGCAACGAGCATCAGTCAAGTGAAACACACAGAGACAGACAGACATCTCTTTAGGGTAGTGATAGAAATGTAGCCGTGTGAGTCTGGGGTAGTTGAAGCAAAATGCAGGACAATGTAGCACTTTAAAGACTAACAAGATGGTTTATTAGATGATGATGCAGCTTTACCTCAAATTCAACCAGCCACTTCCTAAGAAGGACTGCCAGTTCATAGCATTCAAACACCAGTCTCTGCACCAGCACCAGTGAAGAAACCCAAAGAGACGTTGCATACTTAGCACAGGCAGCTCACGGCACTGCCACACAAAAGCAACACTTACCGGATCTGCACTCCGTTTCCCAAGCAGTCTCTCACATTGGCTGCAAACTCAGTTCCATTGGCTGCCTCTGTTAGTCTGCTGGCTACAAGAAATTGTCCAGTTCAAAGTCTTGCGCACAATTCAAACATTAGAGTTCCTCTCTAATGTTTCCGGGCCAGCTCTCATATTGGCTGCTCGCTCAGTTCCTTCTGGAAGCCTCTCACTCCCGTTACACACTTTTCCAACTGCTAAACACACGGTCAAACAGTCCCTGCACCAGCACCAGTGAACAAAACCAA